AGCAACAGGGGTGATGTTGTGATCTGCTATAGACCGCCGGATCAGGTGGATGAGGTAGATGAGGCTTTCTTTGGATGACTGAGAGAAGCTTCCAGATCGCAGGCCCTGGTTCTCATGGGCGACTTTAATCATGCTGACATCTGTTGGGAGACCAATACAGCTGTACACAGACAATCCAGGAAGTTTTTGGAGAATGTTGGGGATAAATTCTTGGTACAAGTGCTTAAGGAACTGACCATGGGCCATGTGCAGCTTGACCTGCTCCTCACAAACAGGGAGGAACTAGTAGGGGAAGTAGAGGTGGGTGACAACCTGGGAAGCAGCAATCATGAGATGGTAGATTTCAGGATCCTGACCAAAGGAAGAAAGGAGAGTAGAAAAATACACACCCTGGACTTCAGAAGAGCAGCCTTTAGCTCCCTCAGAGAACTGATGGGCAGGATTCCCTGGGAAGCTTACATAAAGGGGAAAAGAGTCCAGGAGAGCTGGCAGTATTTTAAAGAAGCCTTATTAAAGGCACAGGAAGAAACCATCCCGATGCGTAGCAAGAAAATCAAATATGGTAGGTGATTGGATTGGCTTACCGGGGACATCCTTGGTGAGCTTAAACACAAAAAGGAAGCTTATAAGAAGTGGAAACTTGAGCAGATGACTAGGGAGGAGTATAAATATATTGCTCAAGAATGCAGGGGAGTTACCAGGAAGGCGAAAGCGCAATTGGAATTGCAGCTAGCAAGGGATGCGAAGGGTAACAAAAAAGGTTTCTACAGGCATGTTAACAATAAGAGGATGATCAGAGAGGGTATGGGGCCCTTACTGGATGTGGGAGGTAACCTAATGGTCGATAATGTGGGAAAAGCTGAGGTATTCAATGCTTTCTTTGACTCTGTCTTCACGGACAAGGTCAGCTCCCAGGCAAATGCATTAGACAGCACAGTATGGGATGGAGGTGGACAGCCCTTGGTGGGGAAAGAACAAGTTAGGAACTATTTAGAAAAGCTAAACATACACAAATCCATGGGCCCGGATTTAATGCATCCAAGGGTACTGAGGGAGTTGGCAAACGTCACTGAGGAGCCTTTGGCCATTATCTTTGAAAACTCGTGGAGATCAGGAGAGATCCCAGATGATTGGAAAAAGGAAAATGTAGTGCCAATCTTTTAAAAAGGGAAGGAGGACAATCCAGGGAACTACAGATCAGTCAGCCTTACCTCAGTCCCCGGAAAAATCATGGAGGGGATCCTCAAGGAATCCATTTTGAAGCACTTAGAAGAGGGGAAAGTGATCAGGAATAGTCAGCATGGATTCACGAAGGGCAAGTCATGCCTGACCAATCTGATTAGCTTCTATGATGAGGTAACTGGCTCTGTGGACGTGGGTAAGTCAGTGGATGTGCCATGCCTTGACTTTAGCAAAGATTCTGATACAGTCTCCCACAATATTCTTGCCAGCAAGTTAAGGGAATATGGATTGGATAAATGGACTGTAAGATGGATAGAAAGCTGGCTAGCTTGTCGGGCCCAACAGATAGTCATCAATGGCTCGATGTCAGGTTGGTGGTCGGTTTCTAGTGGAGTGCCCCATGGTTCAGTTCTAGGACCAGTTTTGTTCAACATTGTGACAGGGTTCACTCACCAACTGTAGCACCCCTGGCAGTCTGTCCACGGAATTAGCTCCTTCTGGTGTCAGGGGACCTTCCCTCCAGCAGTGTTTCCCCCTTTTCTTTCAAGCCGCGGCGTCCTCTTCAGGACACTGCCCTCCAGCAATGCCCACGTCAGTCTCTGAGCCCCCCTTCCAGGGGAAGTTGTTATTGTTTCCTCAGCAGGCCTTACTCCAGGCCCTGCAGTCTGGGGGTTTGTTTGGCCAGGGCTCCCCTAGCCTTGCCTTGCCTTGCCTCCCCAGCCCTGCCCTACCTCTAGGGAGTCTCCTCCTCCCCTAGCGGCCAGGCTCTCACAGCCCCTCCTGCACAGGAGCAGCAGCCCATCATTTTATATGGTTTCCAGCTGGGGCCAAACTCCCAGACCCTGCTTCAGGCCAGGGTTTGCTCTTAAAGGGCCAGTGCAGGACAAAGGCCCTGTGTCAAACATCTTTATTAATGACCTGGATGAGGGGATGGATTGCTCCCTCAGCAAGTTTGCGGATGACACTAAGCTGGGGGTGAGGTAGATATGCTAGAGGGCAGGGATAGGGTCCAGAGTGACTGGACAGATTAGAGGATTGGGCAAAAAGAAATCTGATGAGGTTCAACAAGGACAAGTGTAGAGTCCTGCACTTGGGACGGAAGAATCCTAAGCATTGTTACAGGCTGGGGACTGAATGGCTAAGTAGCAATTCTGCAGAAAAGGACCTGGGGATTACAGTGGATGAGAAGCTGGATATGAGTCAAAAGTGTGCCCTTGTAGCCAAGAAAGCTAGTGGCATATTAGGGTGCATTATGAGGAGCACTGCCAGCAGATCCAGAGAAATGATTATTCCCTTTTATTCGGCTCTGATGAGGCCACATCTGGAGTATTGATTCTAGTTCTGGGGCCCCATTATAGAAAGGATGTGGACGCATTGGAGAGGGTCCAAAGGAGGGTGACCAAAATGATTAGGGGGCTGGAGCACAAAACCTATGAGGAGAGACTGAGGGATTTGGGTTTGTTTAGTCTGCAGAAGAGAAGGGTGAGGAGGGATTTGATAGCAGCTTTCAACTTCCTGAAGGGAGGTTCCAAAGAGGATGGAGAAAGGCTGTTCACAGTAGTGACAGATGGCAGAACAAGGAGAAATGGTCTCAAGTTATGGTGGGAGAGGTCCAGGTTGGACATTAGGAAAAACTATTTCACTAGGAGAGTGGTGAAGCACTGGAATGGGTTACCTAGAGAGGTGGTGGAATCTCCATCCCTAGATGTTTTTAAGTCTCGGCTTGACAAAGCCCTGGCCGTGTTGATTTAGTTGGGATTGGTCCTGCCCTGGGCAGGGGGCTGGACTTGGCGACCTCCTGAGGTCTCTTCCATCTCTATGATTCTCTGACTGCTGCCATCCTGCGCTGCTGCCTCTGAAATAGAGGAGGCAACATGGGGTAGTAGACGGGGTCCCCTAGGTGCTCTTTATTGAAAACTCAGACCAGCGGGCTGGGACTGAGCCAATTTGCCAGTCTAAGATTTAAATGCAAACCACAGCGGGGGAGAGGGGGGATGGCAGCAGAGAGGAAGAGCTGTGTAGTTAACCAGGATTATTAACCGATAAGCAATTGTTTATCAGTTAAACTGTTAGCCAATTAGCTGCTAACATCCCTATTGAGAAGTATCCCTTGTGGTTTATGTACTCTTTGGCAAGGTGGTCAGGTGCCATGATAGATGGAACGCACATCCCTATCACTCCATCAGTTTGGGAACCCTATCATTGCAAAGCCCTTCACTGCGTCCTCAATGATTCCCAGATTCACTCCCTTCCATAGCAGAAGGGTATTGACTGCCTTGGCTACTTGGATCACAACATCCCCCACGGTAGAAATCCCCATTTCAAATTGACTCCCAACTGAGCGGTAGCAGTTTGGCATTGCAAGCTTCCACTGGGCAATTGCCATTCACTTCTCCACTGTCAGAGCATGTCTCATTTGGATATTATTGCACTTCAAGGGTGAAGAAAGCAATTCTCAAGCTTCCACAAAAATGGCCTTATGCATGCAAAAGCTTTGCAGCCACTGACGACTGTCCCATACCTGCATAACTATGGAGGTCCCACCAGTCTGTGCTTGTCTGATGGCACCAGAACTGGCATTCCACTGTGTCCAAAGGATTGAATGCTGGCAGCATTTGCCAGTGGTTCAACTCAAGTTCTTTGCAAGAGTATGTTCATGGCCTCCCAAGATTCTTCCTTGTTCCAGTGGACTCTGGATATGCTCTGGATCCACTCTAGCATACAACTACAATAATGCTTTGATGCTCAACAGGATCCACAATAGATTTCACACTTATGCTGCTATGGCAGTTGCATGCATAATCAGTGAAAAAAGGGCACAAAAAGACTGTTTGCTGTTGCTTTCAAGCCGGGGGTGAGGGAGGATACAAGTGCATTATGGGAAACTGACACCACATACCCAGAACCACCTGCTGTGCAGTTCTGGCGCCAGAATGCACTGGGAGCATAACATAGAATGCAAAGTGGCACAGGAACTGTTTGATATCAACGTTGACGGTAGCCACCCCAATGAGGATACACTACTGCGAACCATGTTAAATTCTTGAGCACAGTGGGGACATACCTTCCAATTTTACAAAATCAGGTGCTAAAAAGCAACCTTCATAAACTCAACCTCATCTTATAATGCATACATAGCCTTAAAAGCCCGATTCAAATCCCTTCCTGCATCCTCTATATTCCCTGGTAATACTTATAGGATGGGCATAACGGCTGCCTAAGAGTGTTACGAAGATTTGAGTATCAGGCAAGTTGTCCCGTAAGGTAAAATTAAATGGATTCTGCTGTGCTGATGGATTAAGAGAGACCTGGCAAAAAGTATGGAGGAGGGAGCTGTACTACCAAATATAAGCACTCAGACTGGAAACAAAACTCAGCAAAAACCTGAGGCAAGAAAAGGTGACATCACAGCCATGAGTCATTCAAAATGGCACAAGAAACTAGCCATTCACCCACTAAATTACAGTATTAGAGAGGTTGAGGACTCACCAGACTGAGCAAGCCATGGGAGTTGGAGAGAGGGGAAGCATTTAGGTTGGTACCTGGAGGTATAACTAGGAAGAATGGGATGATATTAAGAAAGGGAGACATAGGAAGAATATCAGTCTGCCCAACTATATTCCATGCAACAGAAGGTTTGGAGTCTTCTCCAATGGGGATATTAGGACTAGGGCCAGCCCTAGGTCTCAGGGAATATATCATAGGGAACAATCCTGCCCTCCACCCTGAGACAGAACCTAGTAGAGTTTTTCCTAGGATTTCTTGGTGGTAGACAGAGCTGAGGACACATGAAGGAACCAAAGGAGATCTCTACTCACTCGTTGTGTCTCTCCCTTCTTGTTTCAGGTACCTCAGCATAGCACTCATACTCCATTTGTTCCCATAATCCTCCACTTCAGGGTCATCACAGCTAAAACAAAGCAAGGGTCACACAACTGGCCAGTGCCTCAAGATCACCACTCTGACATTTGAAAACCATATTTAGCTGCATTAATACAAATATGTTCCCCCATCCTGGTATGAATTTGATTCCACCGCCAAGAACTCAAGTCCATCTTCTCATCTCTTAGGCAATTCTAAGTACCTGACATAGTCCCCACTCTTCTTGTTGACGCTGTAGTTGGTCAGATGCATGAACTGGTTTTTAATGTTCTTGATTCCCTGGTCATATCTCACAGTTGCAAACCTGAAAATAAGGACAAAAACCTCAAGCTACACTTTCTGCAGAAGGTAAGCAGCTTGCTAGATGAGACTTACTAGGCAGATACATGTGTAATTGCAGCAACTGAATTAAGAAACTTAAACCATCTAATGCAAACCACAATGGAAAAATTGCAGTCCATTTCTCAGGGCTGTATCAAGTCTTGTTTCCAGTGTCCCAAAGGACGGGACTCCCATGCCTTCCTGCAAGAGATTATTTCACAGCCCAACACAATATATCCCCATGTCAAAAAGTTTTGCTTATAGTCAGTTGAACTGATCATCATTTAATCTCATCCCACTTCTCCCTCCTAGTTGGAGATACTACTCCTAAATCTCTCCTCCCCAGCCTGGAGTTTATTATGGAAGTGTTGGTAGCAAGTCTGTATTAAAGGTGTGCACTTAAAGCAGGGATCCAATCTCTTATGCATACACTGTTTATCATTCTGAAAATGACATTCCTAACACAGAGTACAGAATTACCTATTTATATGAATTTACAGCTAAGGTTTGGTCTACATATTGGTATAACTGTTTTGTAGAGGTTAGAAAATCCATACTCTTAAGTAACAGTTATACCAGTCTACCTTGGTGAAGGCAGCACAATGTCTATGGAGAGCTTCTCCAATCAACATAACTGTTGCCTCTCTGAGAGATAGAGTGTCTATACCAATGGGAGAAGCTCTCCTGTTGGCATATATAGTGTCTTCACTAAGTGCTACAGCTACATCTCTTCAGCACTAAGTGTACACAAGCCCTAAAACATTATTAGGACTTAAAATTAATAAAAATAAGCAATTTAAGAAACATATTACTTGTCATTAGTCTTTTTCTGGACCTCTAATCAGAACAGACTCTTCACACTCCATGAACAGTTAACACACTGAAATCGTGTCTAAGTTAGATTGGTTTAGTGATTGTTCTTATGGAGCTTGAAAGGCGTAACATGCAACTTGATGGCATTTCTCAGGGTAGGTGTAATGCAATAATCTTTGAACACTCCATCTGATCAATTCCAAATTTTAGGGAACCCTCTTGATTTTGATAAAAATTGGAAAAACCAAAAGGAGGAAAACAGGGGTCACAATGAGCAGAGCGACCAGATCCAACCGCCTCTGTAAGTGTTAGCTGATGACCGTCATTAACTCACTTCAGCATAATACCCATCATTTTAGCCCTTCCCATCCCTTCAACAGTTTTAATAAGTCTTGACACCATGAGCAAGAAAAGGATAAGAAAGTGAATGAATATGGCTAGTTCTACACTAAAAAGTTAGGTCAACCCAGCATGTGAAAAAGTCACATCCCTAAGCAACACAGTTGATCTGACCTAACCCCATGTGTAGACAATGCTAGATCAATGAAAGAATTCTTCTGTCAACCTAGTTACCACTTCTTGTGGAGCTGGATTAACTACACAATTTGGATTCTGTTGTTGTAGTGAGTGGCTAAAATGAAGCATCATAGCTGCAGCCTTTCTAGTGAACACATCACCTAAGCAAGGTGAGTGTAAGGCAGAGGCACTCAGAGCCCCAGGATCAGGGGACAGTGGGAGGGTTCCTGAAATATAAGGGAACAGGGTGATTTTTTTTTTTTAAAAAAAAAGCGGTTTAAAAAATAGAAAATCTGATGGTTTAAATCAGATTTGTTTTTAAAAATCAATTTCGCATTTAAAAATAACAGTTATAATGAAATCTTATCACAAATATTCTACACATACATTTAGTCTTATAAAATGGTTCTAGACTGTCCAGCCTAACAACTAGCTCTTGTTTCTTGAAAGTTCTGGGTCTTCCATTTCTGTTTCTCAGCAGACTGACATGCACAGACACAAGCTGGATATGATTGTTTTTGTTCTGTGCTTATACAGTGGTGGCCTTGGGCCAAACACAGAAGACTTAGTTAAGACATTGTCTAAAGACAGAGCGACTACATATAGGAAAGCATGGAGGCAGCATAGAAAGGAACAGTGGAGTGGACTGGAAAGGAAAAGGGAAGACATTCAGCACACACACAGCTTCCTATATTCCCCCACACTTTTCCAAAGAATCACCCAGAATCTATGACAATATAAAAGAGCCCGTTTCTGGGAATGTTTTAAATAAATTAATTCTCAGAGTAAAAAAGGAAAACATGTCAAGTATAAGCAGCACAAGATGATGTTGCAAACATAAGGAAAACTGCTTGTTGGGAGAAAATTATGTGGCTGAAGATGTGGCTATGTCTGAAGAACAATGTGGATCAATTTTGCAAATGCATCAGTCTTCAAGACTCTCTATGCTTTTTAGTACAAGTGTGATTAGCAAGCAAATTCCTAAGCTGTGCTCATTGGATGCTGCTAGGAAAAAGTTTAGCTTAGCTAATCCTTATGGCTTGTTTAATTGGTTAACTAGGTTTAGCATCTATCACCCAAGTATACAGTACAGAAAACTGCAGTAAGAAATATCTAGAGATGCCACTAAATGTCATTTTCTTATTTTATATTACATAATTCATGCCCCTTATTTTGGAATATCATGCTCACCGACCATAATAGCAATGCTGTAAGTCTGTTCCCTATTTTACTTTAGCATAACTCAACTTTCCCAAAATTAAGTGCACTCTAAGCATAGTAACTTGGAATCAAATCTGCATCAAAAGGACAGTGGAAGCAGGGAAAATGAAAGCTAGTTGTAGACATTTTAAGCACATCATACATAAGTGTTCTAAGGACTTATCTGTTAGTGATAACATTTGAAAGAGTTTGACAGCTATCATCTGACAACTCCTGAGACTGCTGCAATTGCAAGTGTGAAACATTTAAGATTTAGTTTAAAAATATAAGTGTGCTACTATGTTTATGTGTATGATTTAGTTCTTACCATTCCCAATTCATCTGCAGTTTGAACCAGGTAGAGTATTATGTACTATTTCCTAAATTAATTATTTTTTTAAATCGGATTATCTAAACAAAACTACACAAAGAATACCCTCTTTGAGGGTAAAATGCTGTCCAGAGGTATAAAGTAATATGTTTTAGTGATCAGATTTACACCATTGTTTGAAGAAACATGTGAAGAAATATCAGTGGGAAACATGATTTAAAATCAATTATTTTTTTTCTTGGCAATTTAAATTACCTTGATTTAAATCAATCCACCCTACAAGGGAACAGGAAAGTCACATAGGGAGCTTGAAGTAAGGGAAATGGAGGAATGTAACAAGCCCTTTGTATATGCTTGGCCTAAAGAAGCAACAAAGCAAGCCACTATTAATAAAACTAAAAAGCCTTGCCGCCCCCTGTAACTTTTCATAGGTGAAAGCTGCTTTCAAAGGCTGAAGGATACCAGGGTCTACTACTGAGAATTCTTGAAGAGTTGTCCTCTTTCAAAATTCTGCATGTTTTGTTAGTCTTTAAGGTGCTGCTAGACGATTTGTTGGTTTTTTAACTTTCAAAATGGCTGCCATCTCCCATTCTTCTCATTGTGACTGCCCTTAGTTGGTGGAAATTTTGACAAGGGTGTCTCACTGTCAGTGGGACTGAATGTCAACACTATGTAAAAACTATATAACCATGATTAAGGCATTTTAGGGTTTGTGGACCCAGATTAGTTTAAATTGTTAAAACTTAGTTTTCCCTTATTTTTCTCCCCCTCGTGGTATCACTCCAGGTCTGAGTTCCAGTGCCTGCTGAAGGATAAACATTCATTTATAAAGAATAGCAAGGTGGAAGTTACCATCATAAAAGTTCAGATGTAATCCATGCAGAAGAATCTGGCTAGCTTTAACTACAGAGGAAGTTGGAAAATCCTGTAGTAGGGCAGAGTTAAGATTGAATCAATGTCCTTGGGTGTATATCCATATTTTAACATAACTGGATTTCATATGTTTAACCCCAGTTACAGATTTTCTAGATTTAACGCATTTGGGATAATTACATTAAAGAAGTTGTATTTTACCCTAAATTATGGATACGTACTCTTTACCTTAACTCCATTTTATGTCTAGGACTATTCCTCCAACTCTTTGATTATATTGACAGCTTATGTCCAAATATCACAGTTTAATGATAGAAATGTTGCATTATACTAGTGTCTTTCACACAGAGGGATCTCAAAGTGTATATACAGAGCTGTAGTGCAAGAATCTCTCTCCCCCACTGAAATGAAGAGACGCATGACAGTGGGTGAAATCAACCTATTTACCTGAAAATAAAGGAGGATTGTAATAGAATGGAATTGTCCTGGCTGGAACACGGCGAGCACACAAAGGTTATTATAACAACTCTTTCAATTGTGACCCCAGGTATTTTTCTGCAAGATCCAAAGTACAGATCAGAGAGGGGTAAACTATGGCCCACAGGCAATATCTGGCTTGTTGGACCCTTCAGTCTGGCCCCTGAGCTCCTGCTAGGGAGCAGGTCAAGACAGCCTTACCAGGAAGAGCCAGTCCAACTCCCAGGCAGCACAGCACTTGCAGCCCAACTCTTTCAATTGTGACCCCAGGTATTTTTCTGCAAGATCCAAAGTACAGATCAGAGAGGGGTAAACTATGGCCCACAGGCAATATCTGGCTTGTTGGACCCTTCAGTCTGGCCCCTGAGCTCCTGCTAGGGAGCAGGTCAAGACAGCCTTACCAGGAAGAGCCAGTCCAACTCCCAGGCAGCACAGCACTTGCAGCCCCCCCCAGTTTCAGCTTCCCCCAGCATCTGGGCGGCACAGCTGCAGCACCACCAACCCTCGTGCTCCAGGAGGCATGTTCAGAGGGTGGGAGGTCGGATGGGGGCATGGATAGTCCATGGCTAGCTGTTTGGGAACCTCCCCCAGCATTCCCTACCAAGTACTGTACTCCATACAATTTTTTTACCCAATGTGATTCTTAGGCATCCAACAGCAGAAGGGATCACTGTGATCATCTAATCTGAACTCCTGTGTAACACAGGCCATGAAGATTCCCCAAAAATAATTTAGAGCATAGCTTTTAAAAGTAGATTTATAAAAACAAAATG